GTGTGTGTGTGTGTCTCACCTCATGTTGGCTATAATACTATCATGTATTTACAGAACAGTCACATTGTGCCTCAAGTTTGCTTTTGTATGTTTTATTGTCTAGTTTTATACCAAATAATTTCCTTATTGCCTCTGTGCTTGTACATTCCACTGTCATATATTCTGCTTATTTCACATTTCTTTGATATGCTTAACAACTTGGAGGAATTAAAGTCATTATGATTAGAGGCATGTGAGGTACGCTGATGAGCATATCGTACAGATTGATAGACACATGGTAAATGGTCTGTATTTGTATAGCGCTTTATGGTAAGTCAGTAACTACATCAGTGCATTACCTACCTAACTAAATGCCCAATGACACAGTGTCACATGTGGATCAGCTGTAATCCTAAAGCTAACACTGGTCAGGACTTTTGGTAATACCATTACTATGTTAATGAGCTATAAGAGGGTGATGTTTCATAGACTGTTAAAACTGTTACATCCACATACATCAAAAAAAGAAAGTTAGTCGAGGCCTGTTATAACTTTGACTTTAGGAGAAGTCGAAGGAGATCTGCTCGTCCTAAGTTTATGTTCTGTCTTATGTTTAATGTTTGGACTCCACTGGAGAGGTTAAAATCATTGTTGACCAGCAGACTGATAAATATTGCTGTTGCACTGAGATGTATACTCACTGTATTTTTGCTTTGTGTCTCACAGGCTTCCTGCTCTTCAAGGACTTCTGTATGAATGAAATAGATGAGGCTGTGCCTCAGCTCAAGTTCTACGAAGAAGTAAGTGTCCCATGCCCTGCGAATTAGAGTGCACAAAAGGGCATGGATGACCGGCTTGGGGCCTGTAATCCTGCTAATTCAGATTGAGCCTTCCGCATTCTGTGGTGTCGCTAAGCTGTGTGTGTGTTTTCTGTTTCAGATTAAGGACTATGAGAAGCTGGACTCTGAGGAGGAGCGGTTGAGCCGCAGCCGGCAGATTTACGATGTGTACATCATGAAGGAGCTCCTGTCCTGTTCACACGTGAGCATGTGGCCTTAACATCCACATTTTAACCACAGGACTCTGGTTCAAGCACACACAGACAAACATGCACACACCTCATGGGCATCTAATGATCCGCTCCCTAATATTCCCTTCTGTGAAAGCCGAGGAATCTGAGAGGTTTACGACACAAAGAGATCAGGAAAGCCACATTGTTGAAAAATATCAGAAAGAGACTGGTCAGTGGAACCTGGGATCATAAATGGAAACCAGATGCTTTTAGTAACAAACATTGAATCCCATATCCTCGATATTAATAATTTAATCTACAATTAATAATTTACTAGTGATGTAAATCTGTACTGTACTGTTGTTGGACCAATCCCGATCCCTGTAAAGCACAGTATACTCCAGTCTTCACCCTGCTTCTTCCTCTTCACTCTCACTTACAGTTAACACACACACACACACAACACACACACACACACACACACACACACACACAAACACACACACACACACACACACACACACACACACACACACACACACGCACACACTCTCTACTGCTTTTGTCCTCATGCAAGGCAACAATTTGGGATGTAAAGCAAGCACGGTGCATGCTGGGGCTGTCTAAATGGAGGAAGTTATTAAACACCCACCACCCACGCAAACCCAGATATTGGTGTTGCTCTCTGCAGCAGCGTTACAGTAGGGGTCGCACATGCTCACAACAGAAAAAAACAGAAGTGAAATTAATGGTTATGCTGCATTTTTAATGACCTTTGGTTTTATTTCCTCCTCTTTGTCTTAGCCATTCTCTAAGAAAGCAGTGGACCATGTGCAGAGTCACTTGGCGAAGAAACAGGTCCCCCCAAACCTTTTTCAGGTAAATACTATTTGATCTCTGAAGCTGCACTTGTCTGACTGTGCTCTTTTAAACATGTAGGAAAAAAGAAAGTGAAGGATGGAAATAGTTTGATTTGATGATTGTAGATCTTTTACTTGTTTTTATATCAGCTCAGCTCATTGCCCCATATATTGCAAAGGAAACGGTCACTTGTTGTGTTTGATCCCACATACTCCATTAGTACCCTGTTGGTGGAGCCCTGACCCCAAAATGTGACTGAAGAAATGGTGCTTCCATTATTATTGTGCAAGTTGTTTGATGAGAGACACACAGTGATATCCTGCCGCTCTTGACAGAATAAAACTGGGACAAAAACTCCTCAGTCAGGTTTCGAAAACCTCAACGGTCAAACAGAACAAACATGAAACTTCCAAAACTTGTTAGTGCTGCATTGATACATGCATTTAGAATAGGTGGCAGTAAGAATGACTGGACTGTGAGCAGGGCAGGAGTCATGCATGTGTTAGCATATTTGTAGTTGTTGTTTTTTTTTTTTAATGATGCCACTCTGCATCACAATGAAATGTAACATTTCATTAACAGACAAGTTTGTAGGTCTGCACTGACTTTTATAAAAGGCAAGTGCCGCTTGATGACATGAACAGGGCCAAAACAAAATATCAGAACAGCAGCATGCAACACTGCACATGCTCCTTAGAAAGAAAATACCTGTAAAACTGTGTGTGTATTGAAGGAACATTTTAGGATCATAAATCACTTTGGTGGCTTTACTTAGGTTCTGAAAACCCCGTGGAGGTTTCTAGAGGAGCACTCATCTCCACCTTTCAGTCCAATGTACCAAAATAAAAAAATCCCCCCATAAAAACACCACCTATTTTGTGATTTATTTATTTTTTCTCCATTCTTAATTGACTGGTGTGGTATGCGTGTGTGATTGACATGTCATGTCCATGTCAAAGAGTATCTATAGCACCTGAGTTATACCAGATTCCCTTCTGCGCTCAATATTTGAACTTTATTGTTTTCGTTCATGCTGTTGGTAATTAAACTTTTACCATGGCATCGCTTGCTAAAATGCCACCCAGGAAAATTACATGCAGAGCAACACAGACAGGAGCTGTGTTTGAGCTCAGAAAATCTAATCAGCAACTTCCTCTTTTAGACTACAACATGGCTTATTTTGTGGATATAAAATTATACCCAGTGACTCTAAGATGTTACATCAACTTGTTAGTATTTCCTCTATATTTTCTCAGTCCTTGGGTTGTATGTGCAGCAGTAATACAGTGCCTCTGTGTTACAACTGCACAAACAACTCAAAGACTCTTTGAGTCACAAACAAGATGTAAATGTTCAGTGGGCATTTCTGTGAAACAAGTTAGCTCACAAATACAAACCAGGTAAACAAGGCTGAGGCTCAGAAACAGTAAGTGAACATGCAGTCCTGCCCACTCAGGAAAATAATTCACATACACCTGCAAAGCATTTTTGTCCACACATTTGCTGAAGAGAGTGTGTGTGTGTCTTTAGCCATACATCGTGGAGATCTGTGACAGCTTGAGAGGAAACATCTTCCAGAAGTTCATTGAAAGGTAATCATACTAGATGCGTTTTACTTTTGTTTCTCTTCCTCTTATTTTTTCAGCGGGGGGTGGTAGCTGACATCACATGTTGACATTTTGCTTTTTTCCTCCAGTGATAAATTCACTCGTTTTTGCCAGTGGAAGAATGTGGAGCTCAACATCCATGTGAGTATGGGGGACAGGGGGATTCTCCCAAAAGTTGACTGTCTGTTTTATCTTATCAACTTAATGGGTTTGTAAAGAACCGTGTGGTTCTTTAGCAATTTCCCTCCATCCAATGAAACACACCAGCAGAGCTGCCGAATCCTGAGATGTCTGGAAACAGACATCCGCTTTTTCAGATGGTGGGACGCAACAGCAACCTGAACCAAACGGGCACATCCACCCAGAGTTTTCTGTCTCTGAGAGGAAGGCCATGTTTTTCTTCAGCTTGAGTTAAAGTCTCTGTGCTCCTCTCTCCTCCTTCAGCTGACCATGAATGACTTCAGCGTGCATCGGATCATCGGCAGGGGCGGCTTTGGAGAGGTGTACGGCTGCAGGAAGGCAGACACGGGAAAAATGTGAGCTCCGTAAATGTATTGAAAGGCACACCGCTCGGTGCAGTTACCTCTGCATGTGTAACCTGTGTCTGTCGCTCTGATTGTCAGGTATGCCATGAAGTGTTTGGACAAGAAAAGGATCAAAATGAAGCAGGGGGAGACTCTCGCACTCAACGAGAGAATCATGCTGTCATTAGTGAGCACAGGGGTGAGTTACACACCATGTTTGCACCAACAAAGGTTTTATTTTTTCTTAAATACTCGGCATGTTTTTAAAAATGCAATTCAGTACATTGCAATATGGTATACCAGTAAAACATAGTTACTCATACAGATCCCACTTATTCTAAACTCTAAAAGCCACCAACATTGTTTTATACTTAGGAGTGATTGGCAGTGTTTAATATATAATATGTCTCAGTGCGGCACAGACTTCCTGTATGGAACAGACTGCTTTGGTTTGAGCGCACAGGTTAAAAACAGCCTGAGATATTTTCCTCTAAAAAGACACTACTTCCAGAAACTACAAACAGAACTTTGTTTTCTGTCCATTCTTCAGCTCACCTCCCCTAACACTTAGCCCATGTCTTCTTGAGTGGGCAAGTTAAATATATGTGTATGACATACTGTTAAACAGACTCCACCTTAAGCAGTAAAATATTGCCCACCATATTCTCACTTTGACTTTGATTTCCACATCAGAAGGAAAAACATTTATCAAAGAAGAAAACTGATCAAGTTGATTTTGGGGGAAAATAAAGCACAATAGCATCATCGGTTTATTTTCTCTACAGAAATTCTATTCATTCAAATTCCCTTGATTGTCCACACCCATCCTGCAGTAACTCTGTGCTCCATCAACAAGGCCCCCTGAGAGACTGAGAATCTCTGCTGTAGCTGCAGAGCGGTGTCAGTTCAGACAGGCCACCGGGCAAAGCTCAGCTGACATCTTTCTTCAAATCCAGTTAGGAAGTCTCTCATTGGACGCTCTGTTTAGCCTACCCCCTAACCCTTTGCTTACCCACAGTTGCTGCACACCTGCAAGCCGTTTTGCACCCCATGCCCACTGAAGTTGCTTCCTTCATGCTGAATCTGCTTTAACTGTTGTCATATCGATGATATTATATCATCGATGCCTGTGCTGTTCCTGCTGGGTCATTCAGGGGATACCTCAATTTATAGCCCTGATGCCTAATGTCAGTGTCCCTGAGACTACAGTGGTCCTGAGTGAAATCCATCTTTCTGATTTAAAAATTGTTTTTTTGTGCTGCATGAGTGTGTTTTACTAAAGGTCCTCAGTTCTTTTTCCACTACTAGCTGTATAACCCATTTTAGGAAAACCACAAGAGTAAGGTTAGCTGGGAGGAGTTCACTTGTAGACTTTAAACTCGTTCTCTCTGCATCTTCCTTCAGGACTGCCCGTTCATTGTGTGTATGACGTATGCCTTCCACACGCCTGACAAGCTGTGCTTTATCCTGGACCTCATGAACGGTAGGATGTCCCACACCTTCCTTCCTGCCTTAGATTAAACTCCTGCCGAGTCCAATCTGTCCTGAGACACAAAGATGGGATTACTCGGACTGCCAGTCGCCACTCAGGCCATTCCTCCCTCAGGGAGTTGATAGGATTTTGATCTCATTGATGACGCCTCACACCACCTGCCTGTGTTAGATTCTTTTGCATCTAAGATCAGCCTCCTTTTGAAGTCACACCTCAATGTTAAGTATATCCTGATCAGGACTGGCCAACTTTCAAAGTCACCACCAAACGGTGTCCACTGCTCGCTATTTGAGCTTCAGTTATGCTAATGAATACAGATAATCATTAGCTCAGTGAGACAGCTGGAAAAGAGAAGAGTGTCATAGAGAGCCTGCCATCGATTTTCATTTTCTCCCCCACGAGAAGGTTACCACAACTTATGGACAGATATTGATTTAAACTGAGGTGTTTTGATGTTATGCACTTACTGTGTATGTTTGTGTGTGTGTGTGTCTCTCCCTCTCTCTGTGTTCAGGGGGTGATCTGCACTACCACCTGTCTCAGCACGGCGTGTTCAGTGAGAAAGAGATGCGTTTTTATGCAGCTGAAATCATCCTGGGTCTGGAGCACATGCACAACCGCTTTGTCGTCTACAGAGACCTCAAGGTAGACTCCCCCTGATTCCAGACGGAAATCATCCTGAACACAATCATTCCTATAATCAGCATATTCCATGACGTGGCCAACAATGAGTTTTTCCTGTCAAAAGAAACTTAAAAGCAGCTTTTCATACAATAAATTCTGAGGACTCATTTTATGCATAACCTGGAATCTATTTACAGTGGACTGAGGTGAAATTTATACCCAACATCCAAGAAACCCTCAGGACAGCCTCCATCTAAATAACTCAGGTCCTACCAGCTGGTGCATTACTGAGCTGCATTACATATAGGTTTCTCTAATATTTTGCCCCGTTAATGTATACTGATCTGTAGCAGGAAAAAAAACAAACAAACTTAGAAGCTAGCTGTGGTATAGGGGATTACTAGCTACTACCTCTGATTGACTTAACTGGGTGTTACTGCCGACGTCAATCGTAAGTCTACGGAATTGACATTTGCCCTTGCCCAGCAGTTTTAAATTTCCTTCAATGTCACCTGCTCTGGCCCCTGGAAGACAATTGACTATGGTTGCTGGTGTCTCTAGCTTCACATCATGTCTTAGAACAGAATCGCCAATTTGCAGAGTTTGGTCCACACACATGAATGGGGTTGATGGCATACCAGGGGCTTCTTCTGTGCTTCCTCCTCACCGTCACCCAGTCATCCTGTTTTCCCGGCTGCTCACGGCAGTCTGTTGGGGCAGAGCTAACGGGGCTACGCTACCTTCAGCTGCACCAGCTACAGGGGCCTGGCTAGCTGCAGGCTTTTCAACGATGCAAGCTGCGTCTCCAGTTCAGGGACCTTAGCCTCCAGAGCTGCAAACAGGTTAATTCCATTACCAGTATTGCTATTTCTAAAGGAGGCCGATGAGTAACTAAACATCTGACACACAGAGCAGGAAAGTGCAAGAGAGACAGGTCAAGAGGCCATGTTTCCATTGCGTCGGCTATGAGCTAAACTGGCAAACAGTCATCTAAAGCAATGGAAGACATATTGTAGTAAACAGCGTGTTTTGCACAGCACTAAATAAAGGACGGGAGTATAATAATATAATTGACAATAAATGATAAATATAATATCATCATCCAATATAGGACTTGAATTAAATCAGTCCAGCAATTCACCTCACCACAATCTGTGTCTGTGGCTTATTACTGCGGGGCACTGGACACATGCTCTCCACGTTCAACTTTCAACTTACAGACCTTTTTTTTTGTATGTGTGTCTTTTGTATCGTTCATCTGTAAAAGCAGCACCTTTCATATTCCATGCAGTCGTATAAATCCGCCTCTGAAAATAGTCCCTCAACATATTTGTCCGGCTTAGCTAAAATTGAAACGACCAGCTGTTTCAGGAAATCGCTGAGTGGTTTAAAAAGGTAATGACCACATACAGCATCTGAGCGTTTTTCTACTTCCCGGGAGTCGCACAAAGCAAGAAAACACAATTTTGTACTTCATAGGATTTATTTACAATCAGAAAATTTTTTAATATCACCAGAGTTTTAATCCTTTGTTTTAAAAAATCAAAACAACCAAAACTGCAATGATTATCATTAACTGCACATCAGAACCTGTGCCATGTTCCCTTTAGATAACAGTTTGCTATTCAGGCTGTAAAAGGGGGATTCTAACTTTTTAGATAAGCATCCCTTAGTCCACTCACCCACCGCTGCACCTCCACAGCTTCATAGCTTCATATCAACCAATTTGTCAGCTGTCCTCTGTTTTTTCTCCGATTCCCCTGTTTGGACTGGCTGCCATCATAATGGATATATTTTGCTGGAAGTCAGGGAGCAGTTTTAGTGCTTCAGTAAACAGTGCAGTTCAATGCAAATAATACTAAGGCAGCGTTGGACAGAAAGAAAGAGAGTGAGCTCCAGATGTGCCAAACGGCAGAGGATAACCAGGACAGGAGGCGCTCTTACTGTCTGTATTCACACAGAATCTCTGCTAGGGAACGGAAATTGTAACTTAAGTCTTGAATTAGTTAGCTCTCCAACATTGTATCCTATGCTTTATCGTGTTATCTCTCACATTCTCCATCACCCTCTCCATCACTCTGCCTATGTGTATGTCCTCCCTCAGCCAGCTAATATCCTGTTGGATGAACACGGTCATGTTCGTATCTCTGACCTCGGCTTGGCCTGCGACTTTTCCAAGAAGAAGCCCCACGCCAGCGTGTAAGTTCATCTGAGTTTAACTCTGCACAGCATTTACGTGTCTTGGGGTAGGTGGGTGGGCTGGCTCATAAATGTATATAAATCCATATTAATATGAAATACAGCTGGCGCTGCTCGGGGTTCTCTCTGAACATCTCTCGCAGTGATTACATTTTAAATGGGTTGGACTATCTCAGCTCGCTGCACTTTGACAAGTGGAGAGGATTGTGCCGACCTGATGGATCATGCATTAAAGGGCAAATAAAAAGAGTCTGTGGTGAAGTTCCCAAGAAGGGAGCTGTATTAAGTTACTGTTAATGCAAGTCAAACATTTCCTGCTGCTGCAGCTTCACATTAAAAGCTTTTTAAGTGGTGAAACACATTTTAATTGAATATGTAGTAACCACAGGAAATGCATTGTGTTGCTGCGTACTCTGCTGATTAATGTGCTCCTCGGAGATTGTTAGTGAGCAAAAAGACAGCACTGTAATGTCTCGGGCAGCGAGTTGTCAGAAAGAGATGCTGAGGAGGACAAACATCCCACTGCAACTTCTTGTCCATCCAGTCAGCGATGTGGGTTGAAATGATGTCTTCATATTGGTTGGGTGAGTGGTGATATATGATACACCACTATTACATGAAGTGTTCTTCAGTAAATCAGCGCTAACTAATCAGTTGCAATTCAAAGATCAGTTTTCTGCCCATGATTGTGGTGCCTTTAAAGCTTTGTGTGTCAGGTCCACAAACATAGCGGTGGACTGCTGTCCATCACACGTTGACATTTTAAGTAGCTGTGCAGGACTGGGAGCGTGCTCCTCAGTTGAGATGGAGGCTGGCAGCAAAGCTTGAGTGATTGATCCCTAATACGTCAATGAATTGCTTCGCCCTGCATGGATCATAATGTGGAGCTCAGTGAGCTCGCAGCAGACATTCAGCATCTTTTCATTACAGTTATTATCACTAATATTTTTAACTGTCTACTTGTACATTGTTGGCGAATATTCTTTCTGACTGTCCTGAACATCTTTATAATAATTATTGAGAGAAATACCAATTTCCTGCATTCATAGTTTTGACGTGTGCTGTGCTTGTTGCAGTGGCACTCATGGCTACATGGCTCCAGAGGTTCTTCAGAAGGGGACGGCATACGACAGCAGTGCCGACTGGTTCTCCTTAGGCTGCATGCTCTTCAAACTCCTCCGAGGGTAACCACTCAGGCTTTACTTGTTCCTCTCAGCTCATCTATCCCCCTTGCTGCACTGTCCTGACTTCCTGTCAGCTTTCAGCCTGCTCTGCCACTCTCAGTAAACTCTTCGAATCTGCTCGCTCGCCTTTCTCGGCATCTCTCACCAGCCTGCTTTCTATTTGGTGTGTGTTTGATCTTGTTTGTGTGCAAGCCTGTGTGTGTGTGTGTGTGTGTGTTTGTTTGATCTGGAGTGTGTAAATGCCAGAGGTCTAGGTACAGTAGGTCAGAAATCCGATAAAAGCAGCTGTGTGTGTGCGTGCGTGTGTGGGGGGGTGTTGGGCGGGTTTGCTTATCCTGAGTGAGCAAAAGAGAAGAGCAAGTGTGACGTGAATCCATTGATGTTCAGATCCATGTGTTTGAACACTTTAAAGAGGAAGAGTGTGCAGGCCTTTGGTCAAAGGTTGTCTGCGTCTTTCAACACTAGAGTCCAAATTCTCAGAGCTGGATGAGATTTCTTTTTCTTTCTTTCTTTTTTTTTTTTTTTTTGAAAAGAACTTAAAGCAAGATGTGGTCAGTATCATTGTTTTCTTCTTTTTACACACACATATACACTGTCTCACACAAGTGAGTACACCCCTCAAAATTTTGTAAATATTTTCTGTTATATCTTTTCATGGGACAACATCGAAGATATGACACTTTGATACAATGTAAAGAAGTCGGTGTACAGCTTGCTGCCCCCTCTAAGTAACTCAATACACAGCCATTATTGCCTAAACCGCTTGCAACAAAAGTGAGTATATATACATATATATGTGTCTATATCTCTACCTGTCTGTCTGTCTAGACATGTCCATACACATATCTAGATATAGGCATATGGATATATATATATGTATATACATATACACCCCCCCATATCACTCCATCAATTAGTGAACAGTCTCTGAAATAATAATTTTCATCCTGTTCCATGCCCATATTTAATTTGACACACTACAGGGTTTTGGCTAAGAAGACTGGCTTCAGGCTTGATAGACGTTCTTTTGCATATTTTTGTATTTTTTCCACACTGTTGACGATGTGTTACCTCTCTAGTGTTATCTCTTTCTGAGCAGCTGATACATTTTCGTTCTTGGCTTTACTCATCCGGACATCCTGGCTTCTGAGAATTTTTTTTTTTTTTCTTTCACCAACGCACCACTACCTTTTTTTGAGGGAGTGGGGAACATGTTGACTGTGATTGGTTGTTGGGATGGCGTTACGCCAAATCTACGTACTGACTGATAGGCCAGATGTGCTGATCGAATTTTAAAATCTTTGTTTATGGTTGTCATCGACAACCGTAAACTATAAACCAGGTGCTTCAAGAGCATGGAGTGTCTGGCCTATTGTTACAGGCCATTCAATCCTTATACAACCACTGCTGGAGCTTGGTCTGCATAAGTTTCGGGCATGTCTCACCAGGAAGAGACCCAGGACACGCTGGAGCGATTATATCTCTCGACCAGCCTGGGAACGTCTTAGTGTCCTCCAGAAAGGCTGGATGAGGTGGCCAGGGAGAGGGAGGTCTGGGCTTCTCTGCTTAGGCTGCTAGCTGTAGCTTACTTACTGCTGCACTTGTTTCATAACTTTAGCAGCGAGCAAGCCAGCTTACCAGCCAGAAGGGTTAAAGAACTTAACTAGCTGACTTGACACAGTATGCTGCTAGTAGAGATAAGCATTGAAGCTAGCAGAGAAGCTAACATTAGCCAGAAGAAAGCAATCTAAATAAAGTTCTCTCCAGATCCGGTGCCCTGCCTGCACCCCCCAAGTCAATATAAGTGACAACTTATTTATTTATTTATTTTTTTTAGTCACTGCCTCTGTTCTAATTGAAGCTAATGTGTTCCTAACCTTTTAATCCAGTCCTTTGACCCGTGAACTGTGTGAAAGGATGGATACTATTTTTGCAGTATGCACTAACCTGTGCCACATTAGAATGCTTAAACTAAAATATGGTTCATCATGAATCTTAATTCAGTCTGATAGTGCCAGTTGGATAGATGGTGTAGGACGTCCGGCTGTTAAAGCATTAAAAAACTCCTACTTTCTTCAGTGTTCTTTCCACACCAGCTGCACAAACACTCATTAACATCTACCAAGTCAGCATTTGAAGCTGCAGGTGTGTTGGCAGCGTCTGTGTAATTTACCTGAGGGAGTTTTTTGTTCTTGCTTCCAAACACCTCTTTTCTCACTCCATCCATCTCCACTTCTGCTGTTCCTAGTCATCGACAGTGTCATCATCTCGCTCTCTGTCCCTTCTGTTTTAGGCACAGTCCCTTCAGACAGCACAAGACCAAAGACAAACATGAGATCGACCGCATGACGCTCACCATGGTAAGATACATCCACACTACATGAGAGAAGATGCATGGGTGTCTGTGTGTAAACACATCTCAAAGCACACACAGGGGAGTGTGTGTGTGTGTGTGTGGTGTGTGGTGTGTGTGTGTGTGTGTGTGGCTGTGTGTGTGTGTGTGTGTGTGGGTGTGTGTGTGTGTGTGTGTGTGTGTGTTTTACCCTAAGCACCTATATATGGACCGCTGTATTGGTTTGTGTGCGGCCGTTTCCCTCGTTGCCAGGTTTCAAAATCGGCAGTTTTGATTTTCATGAAGTACTTGTTCTGTTGGAACCTAGGCCGAGCAGGTACTGAAAAAGTACTCGGTACCAGGTACTTTGGCACCATACACCATTTTAGCCAAAATTTTAATAATAATAATAATGTATACTTTATTGATCCCCGTGGGGAAATTCCTCTCTGCATTTAACCCATTTACTCAGTGAAGCAGTGTTGATGTGTTGTATTGAAGAGATAACAACTTAGTTGAAGTAGGGCTGGGATGGATTTAAGTGTAATACTACGTTTGCATTGTGGGTCTATGAAACTCTCCTTAACAAAGCCTTTGAGGAAAACAAAAAGCACACATCCAGAAACAGAATGACACACCCACTGTTAATACACTGCCCCCTGGTGGTGAAAGTTCAACTCTGCACTGGGTAACTGCACCAAGCATCTATAAGGTTTGCTAGATGGGGTTGATGAGGCAACATTGCACAATTAACTATTATTACACAAACTAGCTTAGAAGGACTGGAGTCTACTCTGAGTGTCTGTCTGAGGAATTTGATGCTGAGCGTGTGGGATGGATGGTGTCTGCTGAGCCCACCCACGACATGTCTGCTTTACCCTCCTCACATCCACACCAGACTCGTGCAAAGGCGACATATCATGTTAGAGTGCAGGCAGGTTCATCGTGACAAAGCACAATGTGAATGTTCACCACAGCCTGACGCTCATCTCTCTGCCTGCCAGCTGCAGCAGCTGTCCATCACAGGGGAGTGGAGCCAGAGATCTGGCTCTGTTTGTGTGTTTTGTCAGGACATGAAACAGTTGAATTGTGACGGTGCTCCATCCCTCACATACACTGAGCATGCCTGCTAAACAGTGAAAGTATGATCTTTCATATCATAATAAATCCAGATTAGGATTTTAATCCAGCCACTTAATCTGGTTTTATCCTCTTAATCCTTGTCTGGGTGTGTATCTGTGTTTCAGAAAGGGGCTGGGAGAGGAGGAGGATTGCGATTCATCCATGAACAGACTAAAAATACTGCTTTATATGCCCCAGTGTTTATTAAACGTGATGAATGGTTTCATTACATAAACATGAAGGATGGAGAGCACAGTGAAAAGGCTGAGAGCTGAGCAGCCAAGACAGGAAGAGATGAATGGAGCAGATCTCAGTAGATGGCATGTCTGAACTTTGAAACACCTCCATGAAGCAACTGAGCAAAAAAATCCAAGGGTGGAGGCTAACTCGGGTTGTAGCAGGGGACTGTATGAAGAGAAATGGGCAGGTGCTAAAACGGCTGTTGACTTATCCCACTTATCAACCCTGTCTGTCCGGTGAAGGGCAAAGAAAAGAGAGTATGAGTTACACTCTGCCTTCAGATGAGACTAGAAGAAGAAGAAGGACACTTGAGTCATTGAGCTTTCCAGACTTTTAGAGGAAAATGAAGGGTGGTTAAAAATAAAACTTCAAATTTGAGTTGGCTTTTAAGGGAAGGCTGTGCTATACTGTGGGGAGAAAAAGTGAGGTATAACCACATGCCACACTTTCTGGATGCTGCTCGGCTCCGTTTTTTCACCTTTTTGGGGGCAGAACCTGCAGGGACGCGTTTCATGTGTAGAGTCCCAAAAGCTAGTTGGAAGAGATTCTTGGAGCAAAAGACACTAACTCGTCTGCAGGTTTCATTTCAAGCTGAACTTTGTCTGGTGTTAAACATCAACTGATACAGCTATTACAAATATTGTGAATGTAGGAAAAGCCTTTTAGTATTCACATCATTTCATTAGTTTGTTTTACTGAACTCTTCTAACAACTGTAACTCCCTAAAGTTCTGAAAGTTCATTTATGATAATTTTAATTGTATGGTAGTACAGAGCCATTATTCCATAGTTTAACCAAATTGACACAACCAGTGCAGATGTACACGTAGTTAAGATACTGCAGAATTATCAGCAGCATGTATTAAAAGATGTGAGAGAATGGAGTCGTGATCATGATGAGTACATGCAAACTTCTGACCACAGCTGTATAATTGCTGATCTAGTTGTTAACACATTTGCCCTGCATACAAAAAAAGGCTTCTTTGTTTCTGGGAGCAGACCCAGCCTCAGGGGGTCACTACTGAGTATACTCCTACTGCCTAGATTGTTTTGTTTTTTGTTTTTTTTGTTGTTGTTGTTGAAAAGTTTGTGAAGGTGGACCATAACAGCCGTTACTTTGGTGACTGGTGTTTAACTTTTGTTTTTAGTGGCCTCAGCTGTAATGGTATATACGCTTATTCCATTTTTATTTACTCTTTTCAAAGAAACCTTAAGAACTCTTTCAGCTCTTTATCAGGTCATCAGCTGAACATGTAGTCAGTGCAAACGTGACATAAAAATATTACATCAGTAAGATCAGTGAGGTGAAAAGGTACTGCTTCAGTAAGTTGTACTTTTTTTCATAATGCCTTATTGATATGTATTGGGTGTACCAATTACTCTGACCATTCTATCTACACGTACTCTGTCCTCCATAGATGCAGAGGTGCTGGCCCTGAGTTTGTTGCTTTTATATCCGCTATCTAAGCCTGTCTGTAATCAGAGGAGTTTGGATGTTATTTTATTTTTAAGCAAAGTGTTCACTGCAAAGTTCACTACTCAGTTCAAACATCTCACTCTCATTCCCTCCTCTTCCCTTCCTTTCTCCCTTCCTTTTTTCCTTCCTCTCTGTTTCACCCGCAGAATGTGGAGCTGCCAGACTCTTTCACTGCAGAGCTCAAAGATCTTCTGGAGGGGCTGCTGCAGAGAGATGTATCCAAGAGGCTCGGCTGCCAGGGCCGTGGGTATGATATGCACGCACCGCACACACTTATTTTCATATTTTAGTGAGGACCTCTAAGGGTACGTTCACACTGCAGGCGAAAGCACATCAAATCCAACTTCTTTGACCCTATGCGACCCATATCCGATCATGGTATGACAGTGTGAACAGCACAAATCCGATATTTTCAAATCCGACCTGGGTCACTTTTGTATGTGGTACTGAATCCGATACATATCTGATGTTTTAGTGTGTGACGTCTTCTTTTGCACATACGAGCCGCTTTGAGCGTTCACACTAGAGCGTGTTTGCTGTCACATTTTATTTGTAGTGTGAACAAGCAGACAAAAAAAATTGGATTTGATCAAAAAAGCAGAATTGAGCATTAAGATCTGCAGTGTGAGCGTAGCCTAATTGACATAATGCCGCTTACCCTAGCCAATAAAAATGAATGCCTAAACCTAACCATAAACTAATTGTAACTAAAACCACATTTTCAGCCTCAAAAAGGCCTTCAGACACATGGGGATGGGCACTTTGTCCCCATAAGTGACTGTTGGTCCCCACAAGTACACACAGGCTAAATTTCACATTAACCTCTGTCATGTATCAGTGTTTACATACACAGGCATGCAGATGAATACATCAGTTAAACAAATTTTGCTAAATGTGCTCATTAAGTCTGATAACACTGGGTGGTGTAGTTTGCAGTCCGCTGGAGACAAATGGTGGTGGACATGAAGTGGACTAATAGACGCTGAGTTCATAACTAATTTGATCATTGCTGTCATTTTGCATCAGCTTATAATTAAAGCCAAGGGATGGATCTTTGTCTGCTTGGGGTTAAATGGCAGAATTGTGTGCGTTTGTCAGAGGGCTGTATTATGGCAAACAGTGCCACCTAGTGTGGATATGAGAAATAACACCGTTTTGTGTGTGTGCGTGTGTGTGCGTGTGTGTGTGTGCACGCAGAGCCTCTGAGGTGAAGGAGCATCAGTTTTTCAAAGGCATTGACTGGCAGCAAGTTTACCTCCAGAAGGTAAGTGAGGTTCACTTCTGTTGTGAATCTGCTTTATTCTTTGTTCTCTCAGGATTTCTTGCCTGGAAGCTTATAAGTCTGGTTTCCATGATGAAGCTAATTCAGTGTTTGATCAGACAGCGATCACAAGGTATCCAACTCTGATCTATACTATTATAGCTATAATGCAGGAGAGGTCATCAGCAGGTCTTCAGAGCTATGCTGACAAAAGCTGCAGTAGCTGCTGGTTATGTACATTTATAATTGTTGCTGTCATGATTAGCAAAGGGAAAAAAAACTGACAAGTTGAGCCCACTTTGAATATGACATTATATCCACAAGTCTGATACTGATACTCAGTATCAGATGAGGCACAACTATTCATGCGATAAATTAATGAGTTTTGTGAGGTTCTTCAACAGCAGAAGAGTCTAGCTGATTCTTGCCATAGTAATGAGTCTGTGACGTCTGTTTCTGTCTATCAGCCTCACATCTCTACAGTAATTATTTCATTCACAGCCTTACAGCAGGTTTTACTCGCCTCACCTGTTGACGAGTCATATTGTCTCCAAGGCCACAAACTTATCTGTTTTTGCCCCCAGTTCACATACTATAACTGGCCACATTAATTGTTGCTCTGCTTTTGCCATCCAGTTCACTAAAAAACTACGACTTATTGGCATCCATTGCTGGGCCAATGTTTACTTAGGAGTTAGCAGTTAGCAGGCAGTGCTAACTTCAGTGGGTAGGCTTTCAAATCAGTGTGAACAACCAGACAAAAAAAAAAATGGATTTAATCAAAAAATTGGAATTGAGCATTAAGACCTGCAGTGTGACCTTAGCCTTAGTGACCCTTTGACTTAGGGTCAAAGAGCAGAGTCTTTGTTAGGGTTAATATATCATTCAAACTGAAAGCCACATAAAATCTTGGAGTTTTCCTCCAATCAGGTAAACTAATGGAGGCTAACTAACTGACTAACTCTGAATTGGACTACATTAGTCCATGCCAATTACTGTTGCTATGGTTACCTTGAGGGAAGAACTGCTACAGGACTGTTGCTTTGCTAACACTCCTGTTTTGCTTTTATCGTCCTCTCACTTGTTACATGTTTTGCCTCATCTTCTGAAATCCATGTGTCTGTTCTCCCCCTCTTCCTCTGTCCAGTACTCTCCTCCTTTAATCCCTCCAAGGGGAGAGGTGAATGCTGCAGATGCTTTTGACATTGGATCTTTTGATGAAGAGGACACCAAGGGCATCAAGGTAAAACAATCTTACACTTCCATCTCCTCTGTTTATTTTAATTCAATTTAGTTTTATTTATATAGCACCAAACCACAACAACAGTCACCTCAAGGTGTTTAATATTGTAAGGTAGACCCTACAATAATACATACAGAGAAAAACCCAACAATTATATGACTCCCTATGAACAAGCACTTTTGCAACAGTGTGAAGGAAAAACTTTTAACAGGAAGAAGTCTCCAGCAGAACTAGGCTGAGGGAGGGGCGGCCATCTGCTCAACCGGTTGGGGAGAGAGAAGGAAGACAGAGATTAATAACAAGTAATGATTCTATGCAGAGGGGTCTATTAACACATGAGTGAGTGAGAAAGGTGACTGAAGAGGAAATACTCAATGCACCATGGGAATTCCCCAGCAGCCTACACTTATTGCAGCATGACAAAGGGAAGTTTAAGGGTCACCTAATCCAGCCAAAAGGAAGTTTTTATGCCTAATCCTAAAAGTAGAGATAGTGTCTGTCTCCCAAATTGAAACTGGAAGCTGGTTCCATAGAAGAAGGACCTGGAAACTGAAGGGTCTGCCTCCAATTCTACTTTTAAATACTCTAGGAACCACAAGTAAGCCTGCAGTGCGAGAGTGAAGTGCTTCTCAGGGAGACATCCTGATAATAACGAATTACAGTCGTCCAGCCTAGAAGTAATAAATGCATGAACTAGTTTTTCAGCGTCACTCTGAGACAGGATATTTCTAATTGTAGAGATGTTGCGCAAATGAAAGAAAAGCAGTCCTATATATTTGCTTTATATGTGCACTGAAGGACATATCCTGGTCAAAAATGATTCCAAGGTTCCTCACAGTGTTACTGGAGGCCAAGGTAATGCCATCAGAGTAAGAATCTGGTTAGATACCATATTTCCAGGAATTTTAGGGCTGAGTACAGTAACCTCAGTTTTATTGGAATATAGAAGCAGAAAATTAGAGGTCGTCCAGGTCTTTATGTCTTTAAGACATTTCTGCAGTTTAACTAATTGGTGTGTGTTATCTTTCTTAATGGATGGATAAAGTTGGGTGTTATCTTCATAGCAGTGAATATGTATGCTATGCCTTCTGATGATAATGCCTGAGGGAAGCTAGTTAACGTTACAGGGATGGTTGGCTCAACAGTGCTCTGACTTTTTGCCAGCCCGGCTACAGTGCTGAAGAGAAACCTGGGGTTGTTCTTATTTTCTTCAGTGTTCAATAGTAAGATGTTCTAGCTTCACTTTTTTTTTCTTTTTTTATAAAGCAGGAAACTATTTTTCCAGGTTAAATTATGATCTTCTAAATTTGTGATAGGGCATTTCCTCTCCAGCTTACGAGTTATCTGCTTTTAGGGTGAATGTTTGAGTGTTATCCCAGGGAGTCAAGTACTTCTGATTTGAGGCTCTATTTTTCACAGGAGCTACAGTATCCAGTGCCATACTCACTCATATAGTGAGGAGGTAAAATTATTAACAAGATATTTGACCTCTGTTGGAGTAGCGTTCAGATAGCTGCTCTGCTCTGTGCTGGTACAGGGCATTGAAGATGATAACAGCACATGAATTATATTCTTAAACTTAGGTGCAGCATTTTCAGAAAGACATTTACTGTGATGAAATCTACTCCCCACTGCTGTGTAATCAATTATTGTAAGTCTAAATGTTTTTTGGAAATGATCAGACAGGAGAGGGTTTTCAGGAAACACTGTTAAATGTTCAGTTTCTATGCCACAAGATCTAGAGTGTGATTAAAGTGGTGGGTGGGTTCTCTTACAGTTTGAGAGAAGCCAATTGAGTCTAATAACAGATTAAATGCCATGTTGAGGCTGTCATTTTTAGCATCTACATGAATGTTAAAATCACCCACAAAAATTATTTTATCTGAGCTGAGCACTAAATCATATAAGAAGTCAGAGAAATCAGACATCTTCACTGTGTCCTACCCACTGGCTTTTATTTTGTTTTTTTTCCCCATTTCAGTAATTGCGTTATTAGTGGATAATCCACTTGCTGCTGTTCTTAAAGTGCAGTCACAGTTTACCAGCCATCCACACGTTACATGTTACACCCTGTACTCAGAGCAGCTTCAGCTTTACTTTGTTAGATTACATTTTGTGACAGTAGTCCTCGTTCTGCAATGAAAACGTTCTGCCAGTGCACCCAAACAGCAGAACCAAACAATGACTGCTGTTTGTCACATGTACTTGTTTATTAAAATGTTGGCAGAGGAGTGCCTTATGAATTTCGCACACATGTTCTTCCTTTAACACACAGACATGTAATAAATCTGTGGAAAACACAGCTTTATTTGTTAAGCTAGGTAGGCTTTTAACCATAATCTCACAGACATTAGATGTTCTTTGTCCCATGATGTTTATGTTTCAATTCCCTTCATGTTAGATTACCAGAGATGTGACACCATGTGTGCAGTGGGCTGCAGTGGGCTGCAGTGGGCTGCTGTGTTCAGCGATGTGCTGGTTTCTAGTCATACAAAGTGTGGTGCAGAGAGAGTCAGACAGCAGCTGTATTTTTCTGTAACGTGGAAAGTTCACCAGGGCAAAGAAGAGCTGATCAGAATGAAACTTCTTACTAAAATTACTAAATATTTTTCCAGGAAATGAAATTCCCAAGAGCTGTAGTGCATGTTCACAGCAGGGCTGCAGCCCGAGAGGTTTAAATAAATTAGCCACTTGATACAGCTCAGTGGCATCTCTGCTTCGTGTCAGACACGCCAGCCTGCTTGCAGCTGCAGGTTTTTAAACATGCAGGCTTAGAATACTCCATCTTATGCAGGCTTATTTAAGTATACTTATTAAAGCATACTTAAATAAGCATAGACTGGTGGTAACTTGGACATGAACTAATTAGATTTTTGTGCGCCAGAGTTAAAGGTCAAGGGGAATCTTACTTAACAAGCACATTAATATAGCTTTTTTCCACAAATGTCGAAGTCATTATATTTTGTGTTGAGTGTGTGTCAACTTAGAGTGTGATGTCATGTTGTGCAAAAGCACGTTTCTTGCCATAATTCATCACCGTATCTCAGGAGTGGAAGGTGAAAAAGATGTTCAGTGATCTCTCAACCATGATTTCAGACTGTGGTGGAAGAAAGCACATAGAGAAAGTGAGTTTGTAGAAAGGGTTCATAGAAAGCTGCTGTATAACATTAGCACCAGTCTCCTGGTTGCTCTGCAGCAGCAGTTTCCTCTTTCATTAACATTAATGTTGCTGCAGTTAACATTTATTTGTTCTCTGTTGCTCCAGCGCACAGAAATGAAACACAGGAGCGTTTGTTTGCATTTCTCAGATGGAGCTGGTCTTTAACGGGGGACTAATCATCATCATAATCATCATCGTTTATTTATATAGCACTTTAAAAACACACAAGGCTTACCAAAGTGCTGAACAATAGAAACACAATAGATACCATAAGAATAATAAATACGATAAAATAATAAACATAGCGAAACAACAAAATATAAGTAAATACAAGTCAGTCAACCACTGAGTCAAAAGCCAGTGAATAAAAATGCGTTTTCAATCTGGATTTAAAAACCAGCACTGATGTCGATTGCCTAATGTGAAGAGGAAGATTATTCCAAAGCTTAGGAGCCACAATAGACTAATATTCAAAACAACTGCCGGATAGTAAAGGTTGGAGCATTAACACACCAAGGAAGGTGTGTAGCCCCAGTCCACTCTGGTGTGCGCAGATAGATTACTGCAGTATGATTGATTTAAATAGGTTAGAGATATTCTGTAACACAATACAGTTGTATAGACTTAAGCCTCCAGGATCTCCGACATGGTAGGATTTATTGCAGGCCATTTATATTAGACTGCTTAGTATTGGCTGTGTATCAAATGATCTGCCAGCAGAATGTAAATAAGTAAGAAATCCATTTCTAAAGACTTCATTTTAGTAAAAAAACAAAAACAAAGAAGAAAATGTCAGATCCCAGCAGATTTAAGACACCTGTTTGGCATTGGACATGTGGCAGTAGGTGGAATATTTTACTATTGATGATGTAATGTTTCCAGATGTTGCTGCAAAGAACAGTGAACTAGACTATTTAAAGGACTGTTTGAGCATTTTGGAAAGCTGATTTTTATTTATTTTTTTTGTCCCCAGACAGAAAGCTAGGCCTCAGATTTCCCTAAGAGCAGGAGGAAAGATTTAAAGCACAATACTCTGAGACAGAATAGGGCTTAGCTTATGGTGACCATGTGCTGTAAAACACAGCACAATGTCAGAAAAGGCAGCAGCATTTAGGGCCAGTGTTTGGTTCATTGTTTTTTCCTGTGAGTGGATGTTTCACACGGTCGGGTCTGTCTCTGGTGACAGGTCAGTGTCATTTCCTCTTTCTGTGCTGCTCTTCCATTCGAAGAGGAAAGTCTGAAATCCGGAGTAGATTTCCAACTTGGAGAGTCAGAAGAATTGACCTCACAGCCCAAGATGGCTGCAGTTCATGTAAACATGAGTAGAAGCCTAAAACACGTCATTTGTATTGCTGCTGTTGTGCAAACTTAACCAGGCGCCATCATTTGTACTTATATTAGAGCTATTTCTTATATTTTGTAAACTTTGCAACATATTATATTATTTAATTTAGCTCAGTCTGTTACTGCTATTCTCTTGGCGCAACTGTAACCACATAATTTCCTTAGGGATTATTAAAGGATTCTGATCACGAACGGACTGTAGCTGCAGTTTTAAGAGGAGCAGACAGGAATTGTGTATTATTGCTGCATATGGATGACTGGCTCAACCTTGCTAGAGGGCCAAAAATAAAGGCAACTTTACTATTGAATGCCTTCAACTCAACTTGACAGAAGGCTGAAATCATAAAGGCACATTTTAACATCAGCTCCAAACATCATCAAACAAAAACTGAAGACTTATATTTTTTTGATTCGATGTTTTGCACCTCAAGGCCGCTGTAGGAATTTGTCACTTAGGCTCTACGTCTTGGTATAAGCATATGTATAACTAAACATGCTGCACTCTGTCTGTGTTTGTGCCTGCGTGTGTGACTTAGCTGCTGGACAGTGACCAGGAGCTCTACAAGAACTTTCCTCTGGTCATCTCAGAGCGCTGGCAGCAGGAGGTGGCAGAGACGGTCTACGAAGCTGTCAACTTGGACACCGATAAGAATGAGGCCCGCAAGAGGGCTAAGAACAAGCAGCTGGGCCACGAGGAGGGTAATGATAATAACGGCCAAATCCACACACAGCCCAGTACAGATATCCTGTCAGTACACCTCCTGACTGTGTGTCCCTTTGTGCAGACTATGCCTTGGGGAAAGACTGCATTATGCATGGCTACATGCTGAAGCTCGGGAACCCGTTCCTCACTCAGTGGCAGCGCCGATACTTCTATCTGTTCCCCAACCGTGTGGAGTGGAGGGGAGAGGGCGACACTCGGGTGAGTCTGCCTCACAGCATACACTTTAAATTCACTGCACGTTTGTACGTCATGTGACCGCCTATCATGGGCTGAGGGCTTTCGGCTTGTTCATCATTTGGTCAGTGTGTGTGTCTGTCTGTCTGTGCTCATTCCACTCTGAAGGAGAGGTGGCTAAAACCTCTGAAAAAGCAGAGAGACTGGGTGAGTGTTACCACCAGGCTCAGGTCCCTGCTGTGTCCTCAGCACCCCTGCTGTTTAGAGTTGTAGTCTGCCTCCCCGCTTGAAAGTTGGTAGTCAGTCAACTTCAGTTTTTACTCTTTGTCGATCTGGTTTTATGGTACTGCAAACGTGTCCGATCACGTGCACAATTCTAGGTGGACCACCCACCCCAAACCTGCTCCCATGCATTTCTCCACAGTCTGGACTGCACGTCACTGGAAGCAGATTATGGAAATGTCTGCTCGGTGTTGATTGGTTTACAAGTGGGCAGGGAGCAACAGGAGAGGTCACTGGGAACAGGAGAATAAGAAGAAAATTTGAAAAAACGTAAAGATCAGAACATAAAGCATTAAATGCACAGTGTGGCTGCAGTGTTTAACACTCAAATTCACTTCAGCTCTTTGTATGTTTGCTCTCCTCCGCGGCCGACGGACCACCAACAGCACAAGCAAGAGTAGCTCGCTGCCACCGTCTGACAACAAAGCTCACTGCAGGCCTCAGACCATCTCAGACTGCAGCTATTAGCCTAACAACACAAGTGAAGGAGCACTTGCACGGTCTTGATTGTGTTAGTGTTTCCATGAAGTACACTGCTTACTTGTGTGTAAGTGTAATGTGTGCACTGAACTATACTTTCATCAAAACTAAAGGGAAAACCCAGCTAGGCTCTATCTGAGAGACTTTAAAATAAACAAACAAACAAAAAAAAACAAAACACACAAACACTATTTGTGCTTACACTGGTGTGTTTTACATGTTAATTACCATGTGGTCATATCTCGGTGTTTTATACACAGAGCCACCTGGTAGAAACACATATGATCCTGGGACTTTTCCCCTCCTGGATGCTCTCTATTTGTTATGCTGAGGGTTTTTTGAGGCGAACATGTTTATCCAACACACCCATTTAGGTAGTTGCAGTGGTCTCCCTCCAGGAATCTGCTGACATTTGTGAGTCCTTGCATTGAGACTGTTGTTCGTTGCCTCACTTAAAAATTGTGGGGGAAAAGTAGTTCGTAATGCTTAGGAGGACTTGATGGTAGGTGTGGATTTAGAAAAAAAAGCTTTGTTTTTACGCATAGATATAAAAATATGGATATGTACTGATCCCCGATAAATGATCAGAATTATAGTATTTCTGACTGTGTGAATCAAAATTGAATTGAATCGAATCGAATCAGGACCTTCGGAATCGAATTGATTATAGAAATCCGTGACAATACCCAGCCCTACTCCATGGCACAGAACAGGGCAGTCACACCAGCTGCGGCTGTGATGCATCGACGTGTAGTAGGGTTTCAGAGGGGTTTGCAGTACCAGCGTAGCTACAGCAGAAATTTAACACATAAGTCTAAATTCTCCATTACTCTTCTTCATCATGAGTTCCTCCGTGACTGTCCTAACACACCCTGAAATCCTCTGTGCCAGTGCTTTTTAGTGCTTTAGGGGTAAGGTGTACATCTCTGCAGGAGCTGTGAGCCAGAGCCAGAAGTCTTGTTGGTGAAATCCATCTGAACACTTTGTGATCACTCAATTATCTTTGCAGCAAAACCTGCTGACGATGGAGCAGATCGTAACCGTGGAAGAAACGCAGATTAAAGACAAGAAGTGTATCCTGCTGCGCATCAAAGGAGGGAAGCAGTTTGTGCTGCAGTGTGAAGTACGTCCTCTGGCTGTTGTATGCTTTAGTGCTGTAGAGGAGATGAATGAAACAAGCTGATGTCTTTTTTTTTTTTTTTGTGTATGTGCGCAGAGTGACCCAGAGTTTGTGCAGTGGAAGAAAGAGCTGACTGAGGCGTTCACGGAGGCCCAGAAACTTCTGCGTCGCGCTCCTAAGGTCATCGGGAAAGGCCGTGCTGGAGTAGTGGAGCTTTCCAAGCCCCCCCTCACACACCGCAATAGCAATGGCCTGTGAATACACAAGAGCACGCATATACATAAAAACACATGCACTCACATTGACAGACACACACACACACACACACACACACACTGCATCCCACCTCCCACCCCCTCATCAGCTGCAAGACACCTGCCCACATCACCTCAGTGTGTGTGTGTGTGTGTGTGGTGCTGATGGCGCACACACAATGACGACCAATCAAGAGTGATATAGTGATTTTTTTTTTTTTTTTTTTTTTGGGGGGGGGGGGTAAATGTGTGTGCGTTCTGGGACCCTGCCAGTCAGTAAGAGGAAGAAAGGATTTTGAACCATTGGACATTTGAAGAATCCCCGCATGAACTTCACAAGGACTAACGGCTGCTCCTCTCTCTGTTTGCCCCTCCTCAACCACCTCCCACACCACACACCTCGCTGTTGAAATCACATTAATCAGGAAGTGTCCTCCCACTCTGTGTGCTCTCAGCAGCCTGATGGACTCCTCCACAGAGCTGATGCTCAGGTCCAGAAGAGACCAGGCTACCACAGAATGTAGAAAACAAAGGCTGGTTGTCCTCATCCATCCCTCTGAAACATTCCTCCCACTGTTACTGAAGTGCAAAAAGTGCCAACATTAATATTTTACTTGAGTCACCTGAGCGCCCAGGAGGATCCGCTCTGCTGGCAGATGGCGCGCCATCCCAACCTCCCGGACCCTCACAGTGTATGTGTGGAAGGCTGTTGATCATTCCAGCGCAGGTACAGGAAGCTTCACATTGGCTCTAGTCACCACAGAGACTGAGATTCCATTGGCTGACAAACAGCAGCTGGTTGCTATGGTAGCCATAAAGATTGGTGTACATGTACTGGTAACCATGGACAACACTGTAACTATAGAGGAGCAGGAGGGAGGCAAAGACTATAAAGACAATATAAGCACCCTTTTGTCTGCGCACCGCTGTTTTACTTCAGTGTGTTAGCTTTATCGCAACTCCTCTGTCTGCCTTTACAGGATTTTGTTGGTGTGGGGTCTTTCAGAGGTGGCAAGAGAAGGGCTCTGAAAGAGCTACAGAGCTGCATTACCTCAGTTGGACTGTGCCAGTATGAGTACATCAGAATGTAAGAACCTGTTCCCAGGCAAAGCACAAGAATCAGCAGTCTGTTCCCGCTCACACATTGTCCATGCAGGGCAACAGCTTGGAGCAGTCAGCTGTTGTGGGCAGACTGTGTGTAGGGAGGAGGATGAAGACAATAAGCTGAAGCTGATTAAAGGAAAAATCCACCCTCAAATACCCCAGTTAGATGCATAGATCTTCTATATGAGCTTTCATGTTCATGCTATTTCAGGCTCTTTCTTTTTCTTTTTTTGGTTTTTAAGTGGTTGAAATGTTCACATTTTATCCAGTTGGTGTTAGCCTACATTTCTCCAGAGAGCAGATAAATGCAGGTTCAGAATAAACGAGAACAGAATGATCTGTGACTTATTTTCTTTAGATGTGCAGTAAAGTACTGAGCCTGCTCTGAGCCTGAGCAGGCTCCTGTCAGATTTACCACCAGGCCTCATGTTGAGGTTACACCCAGGGAATGCAAACGCATTTGTCTTTGAGAAACTCCACACGATGATGAGTCTACAGGCTCAGTCTGGACTGCACTGAACACTTAGCCGAAGTGCGGCGGCCCTCAGTTTTCTCACATTCAGTCTCAGCTACAGGTGGGCCCGATGTCAAGTTTGTCATGGCCTTTGGTCAAAACTCTGCTCATGGCCAGCCTGGCTCGTGGCATTTTGCTCACAGCTGGGCCGCACAGCCACCGCCGGTGCTGTGACTGAGCCCTTAGTCCTAGAAGCAGCCCGGATTTGGGCCAAATGTGTCTGCTGTCAGAGAGCTGCTGCACTACATCAGATCCATCACGTCAGAGGATGAGCACAACAAGTGAGCCAATTCACTGCTCTTTAAATATATGCTCAGTCTGTAGCCAGTACAGTGTTCTGATCCCCCTCACTGCCATCTGTCTACGTTCCTCAAGTAGGACCATAGCTGAGCTTAAAGAAAGCTATGTCCACGAGCATTGTCTGCGGACCTACTGCAGTGTTTCAGGGTGGACTTTTCGTCTGTCTTCTCACTGTGTTATGAGTTTTTTCCTGAATGTGACACAGTTCAGATGAGGTGTATGGGTTTGTCTAAATTATTGGACTTTTTACAGTTTGGTGGGGAACCTCACCAGGGTTCAAGGCGAAGGCAGTGGCAGTCCAGAGTAGTGTGCAGCAGAGGAGAGAAAGCGGTTTACTTCAGGGGTTTTCTTTTCCATCCAGTACAGTGTCTTCATCTGTGATGTCCATGCATTTCCAGAGCTGTGATGTGTGACTTGAGTTGGAAAAAGGGTTTGTTTAGGGTGCTCTGTGATTCTTTTTCTTTGGAGCCTTTACCAGTCAGGGGCAGATGTTATCGTCTTAGAGAGAAAATGTGTCACCTCTCCAGGTGTCTTTTATTTTTGTAAACCAAAATGGTTTTTATTGAAATTTCTGTTGTTGCACCTTTTTATCCCGATGTGTTACTTAATAGATGTTAAATGTGCCAAATAACTGTTGCTGATCGAGTGGAAGCCTCCTTTTCTCAACTTTTCACACCTCTCACTACCAGGTCTGGTACAGTCACACGCGCACACACACACACTCACACTCTCACAAACACAACATTGATGTGGGAGTTTTGGTGGAATCTCTGAAGGGTACAAAACTGTGACCAAACATTTTTCCGTAGGTGTGTGTGCGCGGACTGGCTTGCACACCACGATGCCATTGAGACTCACACCATCTAGCTCTGCATACTCGTTCCTGAACGTTTTCCTCACACTGTGTGTACGTCATGTGAGTGAGTGTGTGTGTGTGTGTGTGTGTGTGTGTGTGAGAG